TACTATTTTCTGAGGCTTTTGCCTCAGTGGCAGAGTTCTCCCCTTCCATGCAGAAGACAAAGGCCCAATTCTCAGCCAATGCAACTCATGCACAGTCACTGTCTGTCTGTCAGTAGAGGCTTACATTGCTATGATACTGAATAGGTTTCAGCAGAATTTTCACACTAACCAGCCAATAAAAACTCTAAGGATTCCAACATCAGATTCCCAATCATGGAGATGGCTCAAGACTGAGCAACATTATGTCCCACTGGGCATGGGGTCACCATGAGTCAGAGGGGACTCAACAACAGCTAACAACAATCATGAAAAATTTCTTCCTTGGATCTTCATATAGTGGATTTTATATGATATAACATACTCCTTCATCAACAATACCTCCAATAATAAATATAACAACCCAAGAAAGGAGTTTGAATTAAAATCATATACCAAGACTTTACAAAATATACATAGTTTGTTCCCACCCTGTATCAGGATTTAAGGAAGAGAGGGTAGACCAGAGCATGCAAATTTAAAAAGTTTCTTTGGGTAATTTTGATGTTCACAACTAAAAACCCGTGCACTAAGGGATTCACAAAATACCACATTAATAAACTTGCATTCAACAGACGGGAATGGAAAAATGTTAGGGTAACATATATAGAAGTAAAGTTTGCTGAGCTTTTGTGTCATCTTAAAAAAACTGAGTCACAATTCTCGTGTGCCAGAAAGCACAATCTTTAGCAATAATTCAATATACACTATAGCAATAAAATCAAAGTCATTTCAATTATATAAAAGCTCATGTATGTGAGCCACGTTATGGTCTTTGTCACATATTCTTTTGTCGTCGTCCTTTATACGATTCTGTAAAAATATTAAAAACCCCTATTAGCTTAAAGGCCAGTACGAGCACAGGCCAAAGTCTGTAAACCTTTGTGGTAGATTGTAATACAAAAACTTAACACAGCAGTAAACAAATAAATCTGTATTCTTGATTTAGCTGAAAAATCCAGCACATTTGCTACTATCTAAAAATTGAAATACAAATGCAAACAAGATGGTTACTATATCCTCATCCCAGAATGATGCAGAACTGAAAGGCCTGAGCATTTCATCTGAAATTCTGAATTGTGAACCAATAAATATTCTCACTAAATTTGATTCAGATTTAATTTTTACTATTACTATTATTTCACAGTTTTTCTATATAAACTTAAGAAAAATATTATCTAAAAGCACTAAAAATTTTTAAAAATCCTGAACAAGTATAATATGGTTTCTTACTTACTGGGTGATTTGCTGAGGTTCATCTTGTCCACAGGTTTTGCTAGTTTGGGCTTCTTGATAAAGGTTCCACCGGGCTTATTAAATGGCTGGATCATTTTTCTCTTTATTCCTCTTGCAGCACCAACTGCTACATTAGTGGGTTTGTTTTGATAATCAATTACAATTCCAGGTCTATGAACGTTTCCAAAATCTCCCATATGCTGTAAATTTGTCAAATCAAGAAATATTAGCATATTTTCCAAAGTTAAAGTAAGAATATTAAATTTATTTTATCAACCTAATTTTCATCTGAGAATTCCCAGAATACAACTTTAGTTTTACATGTCCACTCTGAATAAACACATTGAAAAACTCTTTTTACTGTTACATAACTCAAATCCAGTTAATTCCAGTAGAGCAAATATGGATATTTTCTACATTTTTTTTATTTTTACAATTCAAAAATACTTGAGATCATAAAGAACATATGTGCCTGACAGAGTATTACCACTTGTACAACTCTCTGACAACTCCTCTTCAGAGTTCCTAATTGACCTTAAAAGAAATCTTTATTTTACTAAAACCTGGCTTAAAACTAAGATACAAAGAAGACCGTATCTGTAGTTTAAAGTAAAAAAAAAAAAAAAGAATCTGAAATCGTTTAGGATTTCTCCCTGTTGAAAAAGGGATAAGAAGGCTAGATGGAACATTAGCATGAAATAGGAGAGTTAAAGCATAACCATGCATCAACTTCCAAGACACACTTCAGATTAAAGAATTGCATCTGACGTTCCATTCCCATTCTTACCTATAGAAACATACTCTGACCCAAAGTCCAAGAAGCAAAAGTATACAGACGAAGAGTCATGCAACCAGGCGACTCTTTGTGTCCCTTCAACTTCTCGTCATTAACAAAATCCACTACACCAAGAGGCCACATGTCCACAGTAATTTATTCTAACCTTACTTTTAGAAGATAAAGATTGAGGAGTAATCTGAAGAGAAGGATCCAGTGGGAATTGTACAAGTGAAGATTAAAAAAGAAGGTCCTTATCAGTTCATCTACTTCATTAACAAGAGAAAAGAAAGAAAAATCCCATTCAGACTAGTGAATACAAAGTAAAGAATTATCTGTTTTATTATCATGAAAACAAAATTTATTTGAAGTCTCATTAGGAAAAAAGCCTTTGCCTGAAATAATATACAGAATGGAAAATCTTTTCCAAACTTTTAAACAGGGATGGGTTTTCAATTTCTAAGTCCAAGTCTACTGCCCCAACAATTTTTGATAAACCTACAATTATAAAGTATGGTGGAAGCAACATGTCAGTTGCTTACATTTGGGTAGGTACACCTATCTCACCTACAGATCTTAACAAGTAAGTTTCCAGGTAATACATATAGTCACAACAGAAAAATCTTTATTAACTATCCATTAAAGGTGCAATGCATTTTACGTAAGTAAAGATGAACTGTTATAAATGCAAAATTTCCACACAAGTATAACCAACTACACTGATGAACAGACAAAAAAACGTGTGCTCAACTACATTTTTATCAGAAGTACTCTCCTCTGTAAAGAGAATCTTAAGAGCCATTGACTTAAAAAATAAAAATAAAAAATCTTACATTGTAACAAAGATACAATATTCTTTATATTATCGAACTACATAATAACCCCACAATCTACATACACTCAGTAGGTAAAATTTCTTATCAATCAAGTTACTTACGGACACAGGACATAATCATTCCACTAAATAGCCCCTGATATTAAACACTTGCAAACTAGTATGTTTAAGCGATGATTTACAAAAACATTACTTCCTAGGAAGAGGCCAAAAACATGTTTGTGCAAGGAGAAAATTATTCCTCAAAAGTAAAGTTAGTGGCACAAGGGAAAATAAAACAATCTACAATAGGACATAATGTAAGAGGGTGAGTTAGCAAAATCAAACTGAACAAATCATTCTGCAACCTACTATACACATCAACTTCATAATCCTGTAAACATGGTTCAACTACCCTGAACTATCACCAACTTTTACTGTCTTGTGTTTAATGTGAAATATGGAGCTTTGAAGAAATTCTAGTTGCCATAGTTTAGCAGCAAAGTGTGAACATTTTATCATACATTGCACCTTTAACCTACTCAAAGCTCACAGGGTTCAGTTACCTTTTACAATAATCCAAGAACTGTCCCACCAGCAAAACTGCTAGTGTTCACAAGGAAAAATGCAACTCCTTTTAACCCCTTTTAGACCAAACCTAATATCCACACCTTTTCAGTAAAGGGAGATTTGGCAAAACTTCATGAACAATCATCTCACACTGCCACTTACTTTCTGAGGTACCAGAAAAACTTTTTGTCAACCTAAAAATTATGTTTATGACTCAGATTTTGCTTCAAAATACACTGGGATAAACAGTGCTTATTCTAGTTGTAAACCATGGTCTTGAAAGGGTTTAAAAGAGTGACTAGTGAAAAGAATCTGAAAAGATTCTGTTGTACTTACTCCTCGGCCTCGGCCTCTGCCTGTTGATGGTCCTCCAAAAGCATCATAGTTTCTGCTTCCAAACGTATTTTCAGGATAAGCAGGCGTTCCTCTCCCCCGAGAGCCTACAGGCGCAGGCTTCATATGGGGTGAAGAAAAACTGCTGTAGGAAGAGTAATTCTCTCTTCCTCTGTCCTCCATAAACCCAGGCCTCAATTTTGAACGGGAGTAAGGTGCTTCCCAGCTAGACCCGCCCTGGTTTCTACCTCCGAAAGAGTCAAGGCTATTCCGGTAGGAGCTGTCATATCGACCACCATAACTACCTCCGAAGCGGCTTTGTTCGGGTTCATTATAACCATAGCCAGATCTGTACAGATCTCGCCCACCCAGAGAAGACCTGGAGTCGTAAGACTCATAAGGTCCAAACCTGGAAAAGTTGCACAGTGAGGGAAAAAACAAAAGTAAGCTTACTAGTGTTAGACAATTCAAAAGACAAATTATCAGTTGACATTTTATCAACTAAAATTCATTTATACCATACTGGTTTGCACAGTTCTAATGCTATTGACGCTTGATTAGGGCTGGGCAGTTCAACATGTGACCAGATAGAAAGCTATCTGAGTCAGTTTCTGAATAGGAATTGAGTTTAATAAACCTTAGTTTAAAAATCTGCCTTTTAGCAGCTTTTCTATTTAATTACAAAGAAAGTATTTGTCCGTCATTATTTAAGCCCAGCCCTAGTCTTGGAAAAAATCATTTGCTAAAGTTTATAAGCTACTGAAATGTTCTTTTGAATCCATCTCCAGTATTAAAATATAAAATATTTACGACAGTTTGGCTTTCAATTGGGACACGAATTGAAGACTACACAGATGTAGGCTATTTGTGTCACGAACAAATCCTTTTGCATCCCAAATAATCTGTATCATGAAATTGCTTCATTGCACGTGTAGTTGTCAGAATTTGGGGAATTATCTCTGGTTATAAAATTAGACAAACTGCCAAACTTTGGTCAATGTCAATAATCAATCCTCAATTACTTTTCACGTGTAACTAGTAATTCTAACAAATCTAGATGGATAAACACAAAATAAAACATAAAAGTAAAAGATCACCAACATACATCCTCTGCATATAAATTTTCAAGGCAGATGACAAAGAATATATTTTATAATGTCCTTAATTATTTGAAACATTATTTCCTGACAGGAAATTACATAAAACTGTTCTTTACAAAGGAGCACACTGTCTCCTCATGGTTATATAGAGTCAACAAAAGAAACAAATCATCTTGTTTCTCACAAATCCAAAACATGAATTACAAAACTTGCTTAATATCTTACAAGAGTTTTATAAAGGCCCACATTACACAAGAAATATAAGCAACACCATCTACAGAAAGTTTATATACATTACATTTACAATGTAATATGGCAATTAAAGCATTTAAATTTGTATTAATTCAATTATTTACAGATTACTAAATAGAAGGCTCTATTTACTTCTGAATCCTAGTAACCATATAAAAATCATCACTCTTTCCAACTACAGTGTTAAAAATATCTATCACATAAGTAACACTGGTGTAAATGTTAATTTTAGTTTTTCTCTATCTTAAACCATAGTGGCAACACTTGAAACATAAGGAAAGTAAGCATCATCCAGTCCATCGTTAAGGAATCCAGAGCCTTCAATTTACTGAACAAGGAAGGGCGTTGGCTTCAAAGATCTGCTAACTACCGTCACTCATAGTAAAAAGACTGTTTGTGCCTCAAAAAGTAGACCTCCTTTGCCTGAAATATGGTCAACTCTAAAGCCTGTAACTGTTCAACTAAAGTTTAAGCTTTACAAAATACCAACAATGAAATATAAATGCAATCTGAACTTTAATAGTGCACTAAAATAAGCAATGGTATATTATTTGTGGTATAAGGCTCCTAGCCTAGAACACGTTTTGGTATAAGCAATACGTGCCAATAAATAACCTAGATATGATTTAAAGAAAAGAATTATTTTATTATTATTACAATATGCCCTTCCATCTCACTTTAAATTTAAAAGAATACCTATCTTAAATGTCTCTTAAAAACTGGACTTTATATTAGACTGATTCAATTAAACCCCTTACAGTCAAAAACGCTTTACATACTGTACATTTAGAAAAAAATTTTGTTTTTTAAAAAAAGGTTCATAGATAATATTTTCATGTCATTTGGTCAGGACATTCTGATTGATAAGGAGCTAAAAGAAGTTTAAAAGAAAAAAAAAAACACAAAAGTTCACGTCTAAAAACTGAATTTTTTCCTTTATCTGCAGTTTTACTAAAATGTCAGCAATTTTAAGATAATTTTTACACCCATTAACACCTTCAAACACTTAAGATGATTATTGATTACCAAATAGTGAAGTTAAAGTATCATAACATGCCTAAGTACTTTAATTAAAATAATATATCCAGAATGTTATAGTTGTCTAATTATTTGGCCAAGCGATTAAGCAATTTACCTGCTACCCCCACCACCACCACCGTGATTGTCCATGCCATATGACTGGTTTAGGTAGGAATCCATGGATCTTTGACCCCCATAGGATCCATGGCCATAGTCACGATCCATCCCTATAAGAGTTTAAAAACAAAAAAATTAAATGATGCTCACCTCTACTGGCACTCAAAAGAATTATTTTTAGATAAATATCCTTTAATGCCAGACCTCCATAAGATCCAGGGCCATAATCACGATCCATTCCTAAAAGAGAGCCAATAAAAAGGACATGTAAATATACCACTCTCTTCAGGAATCTTTGCATAAAACATCTAGATAGTCAAATCTATCTTCTGAGATAATTATTTATCATTAATATTCAGGTTAAACTCATACTAGACAATTAAAGGAAAAACACAGGTGATAATCTACCAAACAACCAGATTTGCCTACACAATTTGCTTTCAAAGAAAAGCATATTACTAATTAAAAAGTTCTAAATTAGAATTATTTTCAATTTAACCAATATCTATTTGACAAGGGATGACTTTAAGAATTCCAACTCATAGCAATCCTGCACTCCATCGGGTTTCCAAGACTGTAAATCTAGCAGGTAGTGGATTTAAATCACTGTACCACCAGGGCTCCTTGTAACTGTTATAAATACATAAACAAGACTGCTATGAGATAGAGCCAACTCAATGACAACTAGTAACAGTAAGTATTAGGTACTGTAAAGTACAAAAGATAATTAACATAATCCCTATTCTCAAGAATAGTCAGCATTTCATAATGAAAATTTTCATTAGTACTGTTTTCTGCATCTACCAAACAAACCAAACCCAACCCAATGCCATTAAGTTGATTCCGAATCATAGCGACCCCCACTGGGTTTCCGAGGCAGTAAATCTTTACAGAAGTAGATTGCCCAGTATTGCTTCTACGGAGTGTCTGGTAGGTTTGAACTACCAACCTTCTGGTTAGCAGTCAGATGCCTTAGGCACTGTGCTACCAGAGCTCCCTTAACTCTCAAAATGTAAATTAAAAAAAAAAAATCAGAAGCAGTCATTTTCAAATAGCCAAGTTCATAGTAACTGAAATAGAGATTTCTAAAAAGGAAAATCACAATTTAATGCCAATCTGTGATACTGACTGTAAATAAGGAGGATTCAACAAATATTTAAATCCTCAAATACTTTGGATAAAGGAAATGAATGTGAATCCTAGCAATGTAAACACTACAATAAGGATACCAAGTGTATTTGACTGCACTGGAATTCTTCTGATATTCTAACCTCTAACATGGAAAACAAATACAAGAGGTAACAAAATGAATTTGTCGTACTTTTATGCAAATAACACACACATCATATGGGTTCTCCAAACCAAGCAATTACTTCATTAATTTCCTGTGCATGCTTTTTGTATGTTATATGCATGTGTGCATTATATGTGAAAATATGGCACTATGTTTATAAAAGTGAAAAATAAAAATAAAAACCATTTAAAGGGTGTTTTCTATAAATTCCTTTAAAATCCTTCATTACTACCCTCCTCAAATTTATGAATAAATACAATAGTATACACAGCAAACACCTTAATTCTTAAAAAAAAAAGTTTTTTAACTTAAAATGCTACATTTTACTTGTAGTCATTTAAAGCTTTCTAGCCCTAATGACAACTACTTTAAAAAAATGCTACTTGGAATCTTGTCATTTTATACTTGTCAATTTTACACATTTTACACTTAAAAATCATAAAATTCAATATTTTTACTTTTACAGATTCAGGAACCAGTACCTAAAGAGAAAAAATGTGTCCATAGTCCCATAGGTATTCTCTTCTCCAGCCTCATGCTGTTTCCATTACATTAACAACTCTTCTCCTATCACTCTAAATATCTACCAGTTGAAGTCTTTTCATCTTTTAAACTCAAATATTTATCAGCTGAATACTGTATCTTTTTCTAATTAGCAATAGAAGTCTGTGGCTCTTATATGATGGTCAGAATTTGATTTTTATTGATGTTGAATACACTCTAGAGCAAGAGTTCTCAAAAAAAAAAAAAAAGGTCTACTGACCATGGGGATTGCCAGGACTCTTTTACCATGGTCCAAAAGGTCAAAACTATTTTCACAAATAATACCAAGACATCATTTCCCTTTTCCACTGGGTTGACAGTTGCACGTAAAGTACAAATAGGTAATACTGCTGGTGCTTTAGCATGAATCGAGGCTATGGCATCAACATCACACATTATTTAAAGAACTATCAATTTTATTTAAATCGTCATCCTTAAGTACACATCTTTTTACTATTACTAATGAAACTGGTAGTATAAATACAGCAATTCTGCTGCGTAACAAAATAAAATTGTCTCCAAGAAGTGTTTGTGTGACTGGTTTGTGAATTAAACTGGCCACTTTTTACAAGGAATACATTTTTTTTTTCCTAGAAAGACTGACAAACTGTGGTTTTCAGAATTTGGTATCTGGCAGACACTTCCTCAAAAAAGAACAACGTGAACCTGTCACTTCAAGGAAAGCAACTGACATTCTTTGCTGCCAATGATAAAATTTGAGCTTTCAAGAGAAAATCAGAATTTGGAAAACTTGTACCTATCATCCTGAGCTTGCCATCTTCCCAATACTTAAAAGATTTTTCTTATAAGACTGGTGGTGGTATTAACGAATGTGATTTTTTTCATACTATACAAAACCTGTCATTATTTGGATAGTCTGCATAACTCAATAAAATAGCATCTCCCAAATGTTCAATGTTTGATATTATATACAGGATCATGCATAAGGAGCTGTGGTGGTGCAGTATAAGGTATTTGACTGCTAACCAGAAGGTTGGCAATTCAAATCCACCAGCTACTCCGTGGAAAAAAGACTGGACAATCTACTTCCGTAAATATATACTGCCTTGGAAACCCAATGGGGGTCACCATGTGTCGGAATCGACTTGATGGCAATGGGTTTGGTTTGGTTTTGGTTTTATAGGATCAGGCATGGTGAAAAAAGATCCATTCAAAGTGCAAGACCAATGAATTTTAATGTAACAAGAGTACAAAAAGCATATCAAAATACAAAAATTATTAACGAGCTACTTTATGTACAGCACATGTGGCTAGTGGCTACCATAATGGACAACACAGTTTTAAACTAATAGTCATTTGTCTTTAGAGCTGGGAAGTGTATAATTTAATTTACACTCCTATCTCTCATACAGGGGGCCATTTTGAGATTAAAAGTTTCCTCCTCCACCTAAAAAAAGTGCTTTTCCTTTAAGGCCTCACATTAAAAAATAATCTTATATGTGGGTTGTCAGGTAAACAAAGTACAGTCTTATTGTCTGTTACTTCCACTAAGTTCTCTTTAGAGTTATCAATGGCTGCCTTTATAATAAATACTTTAGTTTTTCTATTCAGTGTGTTTTTTTAATTTCTCTATGGAGTCATAAAAGTGCTAAATTTATTGAACACTTACCATGTACCAGGCACTGTAGGGTACATAAAATTTAATAAAGATATTTTTACACAGCAATGATTTTGGTTTACTCTTCATAATATTGTTATTACTTAGCTAAAAAGCTAAAGAAGCCTTTAGAGTGTATACAAACAGTATAGTTATAGGAATATGAATGCTCTAAGATGACTGCTTGTTTATATATAAACACTCTTCCCAAGTTATCAAAATGAATTTTAAAATATTTTTAAAAATAAAACTATAAAAAGAAACAGTTTACTATTAAGTGAGGAAGTTATTTCACTCAGAAAAATAAAACTGTCAATGATTAAATCAAATCTCTTCTATCTCTTTAATATAAAAACTCTATAAATGTTAAAATTCATTCATGATTAAATTACAAGGAAGAGCTGTGGAACAATTAAGGGAAAAACTGACTCGTGATAACTAGCAATGTGACACGAACTCCTGAATGGAACCACTTTTTGCCACCTCCATACTACTAGCAGCACTATGGTCTAGGCCACCATCATCTCTCACCTAGATTAATGCCTACCAGGTGATTTTCCTTCTAAGTTTTACTTCATTCAGTCTACTTTGAAACCAAAACCAGAATTAAAAAAAAAAAAAGCCTGTTAAAATCACACCCAATGCTCAATACCCTCTAATGGCTTCCCATCTTATCCAAGTAAAATCAAATCCTTGAAATAATGTATATGGCTTTACGCCAGTGGTTCTTAACCCAGGAGACATAAAGTAATGTCTACAACAATTTTTGGTTGTCACAACTGGGGAACAGGAGCTACTGGAATACAGTAAGTAGAGGCCAGGGATGCTACTAAACATCCTACAATGCACAGGACGTGTATGCCCCCTAAACAAAGAATTACCCAGTGCAAAATCTGCTGAAGTTGAGAAACCCTGCCCTGTATGACTAATCCACTTCACCACCTTTTAACTTCATCATCTACCATCCTCCCACCACTTACCTGTTCACCACTCCAGCCAATACTAAGCCCCTTGCTGTTTCTCAAATACAAGCACACGCGTATTTTTACACTTGTTGCTCCCTCTGACTGGAAGGTTCTTTCCCTGTAGTTGCACTGCTCACTCTCTCAAACTTTCAGGTTTTTTAGTAGCTTCCCATCGATAAGCAAAGTACCTTTGATTTTCAATGCCTTCTGGCTACATCTCATCATCTAACCAAGTGATGCGATTCCAACTCATAGTGACCCTATCTACAGGATGGAATAGAACTGCCTCATAGGGTTTCAAAAGCTGTAAATCTTTACAGAAGCAGAAGGTATCATCATTTTCCTACAGAGCAGCTGGTGGGTTGGATTCGAACTGACCACCCACCTTTTGGTTAAAGTAGTCCAATGCTTTAACCACAGTACTACCAGAGCTCCTTTCATCACTCTAACCTCCTCTTAAAGACTGCTAAGCAAAGATTATCTGCTCTAGTTAAGCCTAGTCTCTCTGAAACAGTGTACTCAGCTCTACCTTTGTTCCAGCTGTTCTCCCTACCTTAAGTATTTTTTTTTCCAATTCACTGTTTATATAAGAAAATAGACACAAAGCAAGAAAGAAACACAGTCATTGGAAATATAAATCCATTCTAAGAAATGGAGGAAATTTGTATGACATATTTTCCAATGCCTTCTATTTATTTTAGTCTCTGGAAAACACATTGCTAACAATGAAGTATACTGTTGGAATTATGTTAGCTTCATTTGGCATCTACATTTCTTTTATTTCCTAAAACCTTTCTCTAGATAACATCATCACCTGCAATCTGACTTTCCTTAAATCTACGTTCAGTGTCACCTTCTTGTTGATTCCTTCCTCAGTTACTGTTTTAAAAATTACAGCGCACATACACTTGTTTCCCTTTTTTTGCGTTATTTTTCTCCACAGCAATCATGACCATCTTCTTTATCTTGTTTACTACTTGCTCTCACTAGACTATAAACTCCATAGGGCAGGATAATTGTTAATTTTGTTCACCGTTATTATTCTCAGCTCCTAAAATATCTGATACACAGCAAACACTCAAAAATATTTAAATGAATGAAATCAAATTATATCCATAAAATTAAGTTTCTCATCTGTAAAATGTAGATAATAATCCAGACCTCAGTGTAATCAAGTAGTGCTCTTTAGATGTAATCTAAAAAATTGTATTTCACAACATACACAGCCAGGGACCATGTGTCCTGAGATTAAGATTCAAGAGGTCTAGGGTTTGAACTGAAAAAGATATACTCTAAAAAAGCTTCCAAAGGGATTCTAAAAATCACCCCTAGATGAAAACCATTAAACTTAATACATTACTAAAAATCTTAATATTAATGACAGATTTCTAGAGATGTTTTTGCAACATTATACATTATTAAGGAAATAAACTTCTGATATTAAATCCAACTCTTCAGTAAACCCTAGGAGAGACCACTGCCTTCTATCTTTCCAAATCGCTCTCTTTGGTAACAGTACTGGTCCCAGCCAATCCAACTTAATATCCTAGATTCATTTTTACATGAGTTTTCTTATTTTCTATTACTAGTCCTGTAAGTTCTATGAGTTTTTTCCTGCAAGTTCTACAGAAACTAGTTTCTCTAGGGAACTTAAATATTTATCAGTATTGTCATCTCCCAAATTGAGAGTCTTAAATCCTTACACCTAAATTTATGAAATAGTTTTCTAGATAATTTCCGAGCTTTAAATCTAACCTATCTATGGATGCAAACTGAATTTCCTTTGGTAGTTTTACCATATTACTCTCCTGCTCAAAAATATAAATGGCTCCATTTCTTCAGCATTCCTTCAATATATATTGACTACTTCTTATATGTTGAGCCATTTTTATCTCACATCAAATGTAAAGTTTCTCTAAATCCTTAGAGATGATAAATAGAAATTAATATACCTGTAAAATGGTCTTCTTTATCTCCGAGGACATTTGCTTAGTTTTATTTCGTAAATATATCACAACTAACTTTCTTCTGCACAACACTGATTTCTTTGGGAGTCAGTATATTTAATGTCACTCCCTCCTATCTTTTATATAATGCTTTTTTTATTAATTTTTTATTATGATTTTGGTGCAGGTGTACAAAGCAGATTCATTTTACACTCAACAGTTCATACACATTTTGCTTCATGACACTGATTACAACCTCCACAATGGAAAAGCTCTTCCTACTACCTCCCAGTGGTTAGCCCTTCCCCGTGTCCTTCTTACCTATTCATTCCTGTCTGTTTAGCTCCCCCCCCCCAATCAAATGCTGTCCTTCCAATCTCTCACAGTTGACTGTTCTAAGAAGTACATTTCCCTGGAATAGCTGTTTAGCTTGTAGGCCTATCTACTGCTTGATTGAGAGCTAACTCATGGGAGTGAGTCCAATTCTAGGTGCAAAAGATAATCTGAGGCCAGTCTCTATCTAATCTGTAATTCTGGTTTTATGCCTTTGAATTCTGTCCCATATAATGCTTTTTTTAAAAAAAAAAAAAAAAAACCTGTTTGTTCCGTGTCACTTCTGTATTAAATCGTATCTGGCAGGGCCTTAAGTTTTTTAACTATTAAAATAATACCCAATTATATGCTGCATACCTCTCATGATTTCATATAATTCTGTAGTCACAGTTCTAACGTGTTTATGTAAATAATCAGGCTTCCTTATGTACTCCTCTAGATAGCTTTCTATACTAACTCATTCCAATGCACTGAGGCAAAGGACTTAAAAAAAAAAAAAAAGTCAAAATGTATCAGTAGAAAAAATACAGAACCAAGCCAATAATCTATTTGACCTGTATTACTCAGTATCAAAATCTTTAATCAACAAAAAGAACTCAGCCAGTTTCTTGTAATCCTTCTTTCAGAATGTAATCAGGGACCCTTGGAATAAAGCAATCCAAATAAACCAGACAACAGTCAAAAGACCAGGATTACTAGTGAAACTCCCAAGATTATGGCCTCAAGTCACTCTTCAGGCCTGCAATTGAACTCATTCCCCTGGCTTCAACTTCCCCAACAACAGATAAGCCTATGAGCTGAACACCTACACCTGGGAGATGCTCACCTTAGAACAATCAACCATGAGGAAAAAAAATATACAAGGGTCAAACTAATCAAAATTACTCCTAACTTTTCTGGATCTCAAATTTCCAATGCAAATATTATATATGTTGTTGTTGTTGTTGTTACGTGCCGTCGAGTCGGCCCCGACTCATAGCGATCCCTCCTTGGGTTTCCGAGGCAGTATCACTATGGAAGTAGGATTGCCCAACCTTCCTTCCGAGGAGTGGCTGGTGGGTTTGAACCGCCAGCCGTCTGGTTAGCAGGCACTATGCTACCAGAGCTCCCAAATATTATATATAGTATAACATATTTAACAGTGAGAAGTAATAGGTTAAGTGGCAAAACAATGACCGAAATAAGAAGGAACTACTTTTTTACATTTACATTATTATTAAGGATGTGAAAAGAGCTAAAATACATTCCCTCACCAAATTTAAGAATAAATGAAAGAAAATACTTACCATTAAAGCCCTGATAAGTATTTCTGCAAGCAGAGTGTGTGTAATCTATGAAGACACATGTAACAGAAAAGAATTAGTGCAGTAATTATCATATCCAAAATTATATATGCACTTATTTTAAAAATATGTAACTTTCAAATGTCATTAACTCAATTATCTAGAAAAAGAAAATACAAAATTATAATTAATACTCCATTTGAGGAAACATCTCGTTTCTTCACCACATCCCCAAATAGCAGTTTCATCATTCAAACTGGTCATCTAAAGACTAGCTGACAACGTCTGACATACAGTAACAGCTAAAAATGAGGGGACCCAGTACAGACAGAGACAACTGATAATCAATAATAAAATTTTTTCAAAAGTTTAACATTTCTTTTACCACTTAATTTGTCCTCTAGAAATGTCAAGATCTTTGCTGAGAAATGCCTTAGAGTTTGTGTGTGTGTGTGTGTATACACCTGTGCTGTCTCCATTTAAGATGCAGTACAGCTGTAAACCTCACATATATTATATGTACACATATATTGCCAATCTCCTTGTCAAAACTAATTCTTATAAAGGATTTAATTTTCCAAATAAATACTGAAGAAAAAAAGAGGAAACACAGTAATCATTTGGATACAACAAAACCCCACTACACTACACAAGATTAGATTTAGCTACATTGTTAGTCCAATTCCATCTCCCAAATACAGCAGTGGGGCTAGGGATGGGCAGCGAGAGGGAGTATTTCTGACAGGGTTCAGAATTTATCACTGACACTATTTAGCACTGTAGGCACACAATAATAAAAGCAGACATACTGAATTGTATTATTGTTTTTTTCAATTATCTACAGACAACGGATTCACTTATTGTCCAGGGGGAGGGGAGGGCGGGGAGGAGAAGAGATAACTAGCTCCCATTACCCCCAATCCCTTTACAGTCTGCTTTCCTTAGGTATTATCAGTCCCGTGATCACAACGTCCAATGAAAACAGTGTTTCTAAAGTTCACTCTTAACTCTGACCACTTCAAATATTTAAAGTTTAAACGTATCTATATCAAAACGATCAAAGTCCAACTAAAACAAACAAGAACAGAGAGTGTATTACTGCTAACAACTGAACTTCTTACTTCAAAAGTAACTTCAAAGTACTCACAAAAGGATTATTCCAATACTCCTACGCTTAGATCTGGCAGCTTTAACTCCCTGTTGCATAAAATTAAAACCAAACACAAATGATAAATAGAAGAAAGATCATTTAGTAAGACTCACATGCTGAGATCACATCTCATTCAAAGTTAAATTGTTCTGGGGGAGGTTAGAGGCTTTACAAGATATTTAGCGAATTTAGTTTTATTTAGAAATGTTTGGTTACTCAGAATTAAATCCAGTTTAATCATTCAAACCTTTTCTGAAATCTCTCTAATGCTGTCACTACACATGATTTTAGTTTGACACCATTTCCTATAAAAGTTGAGCAAGCTTAGAAGGGAGGGGAAGACCAAGTCCATTTACTTTGTGAGCCTGTGAAATGGTTTAAAGAGCTGGTGTGAGAAATGACTGAAAGGCAGTGCTAATCAGTAAGTCCAGCACAGTCGGCTGCGTACGGGTCTTAATTTGAAGGACATTTCCTGCTTACTGTGCAAGAATTCAGACCAACCTAAGTCCCACCCATACACGATCCATAGGAAAACATTTCGGGTCACGTAAATACCTGAAATTAGGGATTAAAGAACAGGTAAATTTGGTAGATAAATATCCCAGTTTGCTAACCAAAAATATCTTGTTTTCCATTTTGTACATAAACCCGTCTATACCTATTTACAGACACTCTTCAAACGTCTCTTAAACTGAGAAAACCAGAAATATCATGTGGCCAAGCCTTTGAAATGTGGCAAGACGTAATCTGTAGCTGATTTTTAACTAAATGGATAATCCGGGTCGCTCCTGTGGGGAGAATGCGAGATACGGTGGAGAAGGCCCCACACCTCGGCTCTCTACCCGAGACTAGGAAGTTGGTGTGTGTGTGGGGGGGGTAATTTCCACACTCGGCCGCCAGGGCGAGTCCGGGCACAGAGACCCGAGGCCCTCGCGCTTCTGGGAGCGTCCTTCCCCGCACCGAGGTCGGCACTGAACTCCACCGCCCGGCCCGCAGCCGGCGCCGGGCAGGCCACAAATCTGGACGCGGAGTTCCCACAAGAGGCCGACCCAGAGAGCTAAGCCCGCAGCGGGCGGGCGGCCTCAGGCCTGCAGAACAAAGCCCACGCGGCCATTTTGAGACGTTTAACAGACCCCCGGTGCAGGCCAGCCCGCTCTTGCCTGGCACAGCGACCAGCCAAAGGGCACGCTTACCGTCCTCGAAGTCCATGGCGAAAGCTCGGAGCCGACAGCCTCAGCGACGCTGGGCTGAGCTCTGGCGGGTTGGTAGTGCCTTCAAACCGCGGTCCCACACGACGAGTGCCGACGAACGAAAGCGACACTACGAGCCCGGGAGCCACAGGCCACTGCGAGGCTGGAGAGGAGGAGCCGACCGGCGCTTCCAGCCGCCGTAGCGCAGCCTACCATTGGCTGACGCGGCTTGGTGGGCGGGCTTTCGCGTGGAGGCGGGAAGCTGGGTGCCTGTCACTCTTCCGGGTTTCAGGAGCCTCAGAGGAGGAAAGAAAAGTAAAGGAACAGCAAAGGTAGCGGGAAGGCGTCAAAGACTGGCAGGGGTAGCGGAAAAGTGTGCTGAGTGCTCTGGAAGGGTTGGCTGCAGACCGCCATGTTTGATCCTGGCAAGAGCGAAAGAATCTAAAATAGTTGGAATTTCTTCCTTCAGCCCAAATTAGTAAACCATGTGCCCACATTTCTCTTTTTACTGGGTAATAGTGACTTCCTGGAAAATAAAAAGAAAAGTACTATGGAGTTTCTGCGTTGAAGACTAGCAAGTCGGGATGTTTTTAGAACTCTGTGAACAAAGGAGAACAGATTGGAAACATATGGGAATCATGGGAGCTCTGGTGGCATAATGCCTAAGGCATTTGACTGCTAACTAGAGGGTTGGCGTTTCAAACCCACCAGGTACTCCTGGGAAGGAAGATTGAGAAATCTTACATCCTTAGAGATACTGCTTGGGGAAACCGAAGGAGGGGGTCGCTGTGAGCTGGGATCTACTAGACGGCAGTGACTTTGGTTTTTGAGTTTTTTATGGGAATTACGCAAGACAGTGTACTAGCATTCTGACAGTGCAAACAAAATAAAGTACTATCAAAATTCACAAATAGGAGAGATATGTGGGAGGAAGGGTCGTTCAGTACTTTAAGGATAACTACATCTGAACACACACATACTGCTACTATCTTATTGCCACTTTGGAAATAGTGTTGAGGACAGTAGGCAAAGTTACCCACAGGGCATTATGACCCTGAAGCAGCTTCAACCGCAAACTTAAAAAAAAAAAAAAATGGAGAAGAAATAGTGATCACCAGATGAGTAAAAATAAAATACAGTTGCCATACAGTCGATTATGTCTTTTGGCAATTCCGTGTGTTGCAGAGTAGAACTGATCTGTGCTCTGTTTGCCAAGCCTTTCTACTGAGGTGCCTCTGGGTGGGTTCGAACCACCAAACTCCTCCAGAGAAAAGATCAACCTGGCAGTCTGCTCCTGTGACGATTACAGCCTAAGAAACCCAATAGGGCAGTTCTGTGCTGTCCTGTAGGGTTGCTATGAGTCAGAATCCACTCCACCAGTCATTGGGTTTTGTTTGTTTTTCACTTATCTTCTCCATCTTAATTGATTTACCCTGCTCTCCACTCTTTTCTTATTTCCTTCTTTTTTTCTCTCCTATCCATACATCTGTAGGAGCTCTGGTGCCATAGTGCCTAAGGCATTTGACTGCCAAGCAGAAGGTAAGTGGTTCAAACTCACCAGCCACTCCACAGAAGGAAGACTAGGTAATCTACGTCTATAAATATTTACCACTTCAGACATCCGAAGGGGGTCGCTCTGAGTCAGAATCAACTCAATGGTAGTGATTGTGGTTTGGTTTTGGTATACATTTTTAGAAAGGAACTCTCATAGTGTGGTGGTTAAGGCATTTGGCTGTTAACTAAAAAAAAGTTCAGTGGTTTGAATCCATCAGCTGCTTGGCATGAAGAAAATGAGGCAGTCTGCTTCCTGAAAATTTGCAGCCTTGGACATCCAATAGAAGTTGCTATAAGTTGGAATCCACTCAATGACACCGTGTTTGGTTTGGGTAAACATGCTCAGAAGCGAGGATGGCAAGACTTTTCATCTCACCTACTTTGGGCATGTTATCAAGAGGAACTAGTCCCTGAAGAAGAATGCCATGCTTGGTAAAGAAAAGGCTCAGCAAAAAAGAGAAAGACCCTCAAGAAATGGATTGACACAGTGGCTCTATTAAAGGGCTCAAACATAGCAACAATTGTGATGATGGCACAGGACAGGCCAACAGTTTCCTCCTGTGGTACATAGGGCTATGAGTCAGAACTGACTTGACAACACCTAACAACAACACATGCTTTCTATTCAGCTGAAATGAACATATTAAAAATTGAACTAATAATTTTCTTCCTCAAACCTACTCATCCTCCATTTTTCTTTCATGTTCTTTGGTAGCATCATGAGCAATCACCCAGTAATTGGAGCCAGAAAACATAAACTCATCCAGTCAAGACTCTGTCCTTTCTCACCTCCCACCCCCAAATCCATACTGAAGTCTTTTTTCTCTCAACTGCTTATTGCCTTCTAAAATTTAAGCCTGCCCCCTCTCCTTCCCCTACTGCCAATACCTGAATCCAGACTCTCATTATCTCCCAAACTATTGCAGTAGTTTCCTTATTAATTCCTCTGTCCTTCACCTTCCAGTTGGTTCTCAGCTTCCTCAGGGCTGCAGGTATCTAAATGCAAATCTGAACAGATGTTTCTTAGCCTCTATCTTGAGTTGGGTAACTTGAGGCTTCTTAACCTGGAACACTGACTTGAGGGCGATGGATTTGGTTTTAGTGACCTAGGGCATACCTAGCTGGATTTGGCCACTGCCTCACATCCTGCCATCTCCCTCCTCCCCTCACACACTGCTACATGCCATTCCCAAAAATACCCCTGTGCTTTTTTATGGTGCCAAGCTTTTTGCTTTTGTTGTTCTCTCTGCTTGGAACACCAGGACCCTAGATGGTATAGATGGTTTGCACACAAATATTAACCTGAAAGTTAATGGTTCAAACCCACACAGCAGCACCACAGAAGAGAGGCCTGGGAATCTGCTTCTGTAAACATTACAGCCAAGAAAACTCTATGGAGTAGTTCTATTCTGTGACACTATGAGTCAGAACTGACTGAATGGCAATGGATTTGGTTTTTTTCTTTGTTTTTGTATTTTTCTGCTTGGAACACCACTTGGTCAACCCCACTCATCATCAAAACACAACTAGGATTTACTTCTAAGAAGTTCTCCCAGATTCCACCCCCTCTCCTGAGGCTATAGTTCTCATTAATTTGCATCTGAATTACCAGAGATCTGGTTAAAACTTAGATTCTCAATCACTCAGTCAGGGGTGGAGCCCAAGAGTCTGCTTTTGGAATGAATTCCCAGGAGATACTACAGCTATTGTTTGAACCATATTTACAATAGTAAAGCCCTGGGCTCCATTAAATGCTCCTATTCTGAGTTTCTCTGTTACAGCACTTCCTTCCATGCATTAAGTACTCTTGGGCTTTTTGGCTCCCAGCATTAAACTGTGAGCTCTTTGAGATTAGAAAGTATCCTCTGTATCATAAATTCCAAGTACACATTGGGTACTGGATAAATGTTTACCAAATAGAACTGAACTGAAACTTCTTACTTCCTCCCTCCATCATTTTTTCTTCCATTTATTTCTAGCAAAGGAATGATTTTGTAACCTAAGGTCTTCAGGTCTTGACATGACTCACTCAGAGCCTTCGAGTCAAACCTGACTCATAGGGACCCCTCCTTGGGTTTCTGGGGCAGTATCTCTAGGGAAGTAGATTGATCAACCTTCCTTGCGAGCAGTGGCTTGTGGGTTTGAACTGCCAGCCTTCTAGTTAGCAGTCACACGCCTTAGGGCATGACTGTTGTTCTTATTATGTGCCGTCAAGTCGGATGTGACTCATAGCGTCCCCTCCTTGGGTTTACGAGGCGGTATCACTACAGAAGTAGGATTGCCCCATCTTCCTTCCGAGGAGTGGCTGGTGAGTTTGAACTGCCAGCCTTCTGGTTAGCAGTCAAGTGCCTTAGGCACTATGCTACCAGAGCTCCTTGGTGTATCTATGTTGTTGTTGTTGTTGTTTGCTGTCGAGTCGGCCCTGACTCATAGCGACCCCTCCTTGGGTTTCCGAGGCAGTATCACTATGGAAGTAGATTGCCCAACCTTCCTTCTGAGGAGTGGCTGGTGGGTTTGAACCGCCAGCCTTCTGGTTAGCAGTCAAGTGCTTTAGCCACTATGCTACCAGAGCTCCCAAAGCTCCTTTCATCACTCTAACCTCCTCTTAAAGACTGCTAAGCACATACCATACCGCCCATCAGCCACTCCTCCTCAGAAGGAAGGTTGGGCAATCCTATTTCCGTAGTGATACTGCCTCAGAAACCCAAGGAGGGGTCGCTATGAGTCGGGGCCGACTCGACAGTACATACCATACCACCCACCAGCCACTCCTCAGAAGGCTGGTGGGTAGGCAGAGCTAAAAGAGCTTTGTAACAGTGCCTGAGCCTGCCTGGCAGAGGCCAAAGGCCAGAGAGGCATGTCTTAGGGCATAGCAGAAGAGAGACTGTCCTGATCGAAGAACTGTATTCTGAGCACATTCCTGAACCTGAACCATTACTCCCCTAATACATCCCATAATTGTGACTATTGTCTGTGAGTTCTGTGTGGCCATTGCAACAAATTATTGAACCCAGCAGAGAAGTAGTGAAGGGCTGTGGGAGGGATGGCTGGTGTCAGAATTGGTAAAAGGCTAGAGGGTGATGGCATGTGTGGCCTCATAGGAATAAGCCTTGGGCTGCTAATGGTGATTCTGGTCTTCGTCTTGTGAAGTTAGAGGAGGTCAGAAGATGCCATGTCCTTTTTGCAGCACAAATGTATGGAGGACCAGAATATACATGTCTCTTCTCCCTTTCTTTCCTTGTGAAGAGACATGTGGCCATACCCCCAGAAAACCTAAATCAAATCAGTTGTCATGGAATCAATTCCAACTCATGATGACCCAGGTGTTTTCAGAGTAGAACTGCACTCCTTAGGGTTTTCAATGGCTATGTTTTTCAGAAGTAGATCACCAGGCTTTTCTTTTGTATTACCACTAGGTGCATTTGAACTGCCAATGTTTCCATTAGTAACCAAGTTCTAACTGCT